CATGATCCCAGGGTCCTGGGATCGAGCCCCGCATCAGGCTCCCTGCTCCGCGGGAAGCCTGCTTCTCCCTCTCCCACTCCCCCTGCTTGTGTCCCTGCTCTCACTGTCTCTCTCTCTATCAAATAAATAAATAAATAAATCTTTAAAAAAAAAAGAAGTCATTCATGTCCAGGATATTGAGGCCACAGGGATGAATGCTTACTTAGCAGGCACCTCCTTCTCTCTTGTCTTAAGAAAGGGAAGTCAGTTCTGAATGGCAGAGGTAGTGATGACTTTGGGCATTTTTTTAATTGTCCTTGAAGAAAGGGTGTGACCTGAAGGAGAAGACTAAAAAGAGTGGATGTTTGCAGGAAGGGGAGGAAAGAACAAAAGAAATAGGGGGATAGTTAATTTCATTGATGTTGAAAGAAGCAAGCCAAGATGTTTAAGTAGGAGAGTCAGCTCTATTGATTAATAATGATTGGCAAAGCAATAGAGGTCCATACTACCCCAAACTGGATCAGAGCTAGAACTGGAATATATATACATGTATACATTTAGGCATACACACATAGCATTTCAGAAAGCCAGGAGAGGGATTATCAGATTTGGAAAGACCATGATGATTATGAAAGAGCTGATTCTTACCGAAGCTCACCAGGATGACACAGCAGATTAGGTTCATTCTTATTCACGTGTTCCTGTATATATCACACCACTGGTGCACGGCACTGAAAAAAAGGTTTTTGCGTGAAATACTTGAATGACAGAATTAATGGAGGGAATCAAAGGATGCTGTACAAAGTTGGTTTAGGAAACCAGGGGAATCAGTACTGCCCTCCATAGAAACAGAGGAGCAAGACAGATCTCTAGGCATTAAAGAGTAAAGTGGGATGGGAGGGGCGCCTGGGTGGCTCAGTAGGTTAAGCTCTTGCCTTCAGCTCGGGTCATGATCCCAGGGTTCTGGATCAAGCCCCACATTGGGGTCCTTGCTCAGCTGGACCTTCTGCTTCTCCCTCTGCCCTTCTCCCCAGCTTGTGTTCTCTCTCTCTCTAACAAATAAATAAAAATCTTAAAAAAGAAAAGAAAAGAAAAGAAAGAAAAGTGGGGTGGGAACCAAGAAAGAACAGCTTTTCCTAAGTTTCTGTTTGGAAAGGGTTTTGGAGACAGGCCGATTAACGTTATTAAGAAAGGAATTACAGCCTTACAGAAGAAGTAAAGCTGAACAAAACATGAAAATGGAGGAGTTTGTTAGAAAATAAAAAGGGGAAGAAAATCTTTACAAAGAAATAGTGACAGCGATAGGGAATAAAATAGTTCCCAGAACATGAGGCCAGGAGAGTAAGTGGGGGGGGGGGGGTCCAAAAACTAGGGACAGTGGGCTGACACTTATTTGGTGCACATAGTAAAAGCCATTTGAAAATAACACGTATACACAAAGTTGTTAACTTGCTTAAGATGGGTGGGGTAAGTGCTAAAGATTCCTGAAAATGAATATTTTCAGTTGGATACGTCAGTCTTTCTCTTGAGAACACTATTTCTAGAAGTTTTCGATTCAAAAGAACTCAATTTGATTTTTTGTTTCAATAGCTGAGTACAAAATTCTTTGTCCTGGAGGAGAAGGTTTTCGGCCCAATCCTATCACTGTGATATTGGAAGGTAATTCTGTATCCTTGATCTTCAAGTATGCACATTTTGAACTTCCTCGGGTTTATTGACAATGCTGAAGAAATGCCGTTGTTTTCATTGCGATAGACATTGATGAGTGCCAAGAACTCCCGGGGCTGTGCCAAGGCGGGAAATGTATCAACACATTTGGCAGTTTCCAGTGCCGCTGTCCAACTGGTTACTACCTGAACGAAGATACCCGAGTGTGTGATGGTAAGTGGTCCTGATAGGATGATAAGTTCTTTCAACTATTGAGACCTGACCCCAAAAGCCAGCATAGAATCACCAGTAAAACTAAGAATTTAGCAATATAGCGCAATGGTCTAGACATGAACATAGCTAGCTGCACAAGGGGCAGCTTGCATTGTTACTGACATGCTATCATTTCCTATACACCCCAGATCTTCCTCTTTTTCTAAGAAAAGTGGAGTTTTATTATCTTGGGCCATAGTCTCACTTATGTCTGCAGTTTTCTGGGCACTTTAGAAAAGCCATTTCTGTTAGAGTGGCACAGACTCATTTCAGTGACTTCTGTATTCTGGGAGGTTCTTAGTTCCTCTTCTTCCTGTTCTTCACAATTTATCATCTGTACTAATGCAGCAAAATGAGCTTCTCTTAAAAAGGCAGCCTCTTTGGTTTTATGATGGAAGTGGTAACTCCTGTTCATCCTGTGTTATTGGAAAGATGGGGACATTGACAACTTTTGGCTTTCAGAGCACTTTGACTGTAGACCAGGGTGGGAGAGATGGTTTTCTTCTATATGTTCTATATGCAGGAGTCACACAATAGTTAGGGAAGATAACTCCTTGTATCCTGGAGGAGAAACATTCCTTCGGATCTCCAAAAGGCTTGATAAGTGACCTCGATAAGTGGCAACCTCATTGGGTATTAGTTGAGTATATGACACAGTTGAGTATATGACATATAGTTGAGCTATATGACACAGCTCTAAGACCCCTGTAATGAACAAAGATTAGAATCAACCCCTATGTTTGAAAATGGGGATAGAGGTATGAAATACCTACCTCCATACTACCTTACCAATGCAGATTCATGAAGCCAATGGTTGATGGCTTCAGGATATATCATATCCTTCCATCAATTTTGAGAACATTTGAAGTATTAGCTGTCTTTCTGAAGGATAGTTGAGAATTATAATTTGTCTGCATTTCCATCTTTGCATGCCTTTGAGGATGTTATGGACTCATTTACTAGGAACTCATATCAGAAGGCAAAACCTCTTTTTCCAGAACTTCCTTTCCTGAAAACACACACACGAGCATAGACAAAGGACACTGATGAATTAAACATCAATTTTTCTCATCCAGATTTCCAAGTGCTCCTGGGGATTTTCTCCACCATTGTCAGCATTTATAGGGACACTGAGTCTCAGACCATTCCACAGAGTAAAGTTTTCCTATTCACATGCCATTTTCTCTTTGGATTCCAGATGTGAATGAATGTGAAACCCCCGGAATTTGTGGTCCAGGAACATGTTACAACACTGTTGGCAACTATACCTGTATCTGCCCCCCAGACTACATGCAAGTGAATGGGGGAAACAATTGCATGGGTAAGTCCAGGCTTTCCTGAACCATGAAAGTTTGGTCCTCATCTGCAAGACCAGCCATTGGTCCTTAGTGTTACGTTACTCATCAGACCGAGTGCTGCCTGCCACCCTTTTGCTATCTTTGTGAAAGCCTCCTCCCTTGTAAACCGTAAGCTTGACCTTTCTTCCCCACCTTGTGTGGGTGGTTGGGAGTTTTCTTTAAAATGTAATGTTGGAAAATCCCAAACAACAGCTTCATAGTACTTCTTTTGTTTGACTTTGGGTGTATCTTTATACAATTATATTTACAGCACTGACCTACAGCATTAAAACATCATGAGTCGGAAATGAGAAAATTGCTGCCAAATAGCAGTGGAGAATTGTTACTAAGAGACCGGGTGGAGAGTCGTGTAAAGTTTATTAATGCTGCAGCTCCATAATGACTTCGTTCTGTGGCACAAAATACCAGGGAATACATTTCTCAAAGTTCCCTTTCTGAGAGCAGCATATGTGGATAGAAAATTGTGTAAGGGCAGGCTATTCCTGCAAGTTGCAATAAAATCCAAAAGAAGTGCAGTCCTTGAGTATCCCCTTAGAAATCTGTCGTGCTCTCCCTGCGACATCACCAACCACTTCGCTCTAGATATGAGAAGAAGTTTGTGCTACAGAAACTATTATGCTGACAACCAGACCTGTGACGGAGAACTTTTGTTCAATATGACGAAGAAGATGTGCTGTTGTTCCTACAACATTGGCCGGGCCTGGAATAAGCCCTGTGAACAGTGTCCCATCCCAAGCACAGGTGAGTTGCACCATTGCCAAAACCATAGGTTGATAAATTATGCATGGGCTGTTGGGGAAATGAGTCTCAACAAGGGAAGAGAAGGGTTCATTGTTTACCCTCCTAAGCAAAGATTCGCTCACAGAGGCGAATGTTTAAACTCACAGTTCTGGCTGAAAATTGAGTCACAGAACACACTTTCTAACTTGTACACTAGTTCATTCACCAGACTTATAGACTCAGCATATCATAAAAATATAAACATTGTAATTGTTATGGCGTTCACCATGTAGCTAAAAGACTGGAAACATTAGGCGAAGCAATATGACAGATAGGTGAGCCATATTCCTATTATCCTTACTTATTTGTAACTGGTCTTGTTCCAAAAAGAATTTAAGGCAACCCACAAAGATTTGAATGTAAAATAAGAAGGCCTAAGGCAAATGGCAAACAAGGGTAAGAAACTTGGAGCAAGGAGCGAGGCTAATATGCAAAAATCCAAGCTGGGAATTTCTACACACTTGCCAAAGATGAGCAATAAGTTTGGCTCCAAAATTCCTAGCAGCTCATATAAAAAGGGAACGATAATCAAGTCTAAGAGTCTCAATGACTATAAAGCAAACCTAACACCATGCGAAAGCACAACTCTTCTTGAGAGAAATTTTTTCTTATATCCTCATAGAGAAAAATCTATATGATGTTATTTGTTTTAAAAAAAGTCTAACCCATGCCCTTGGAGTAAATGAAGTGAATTGGTGCATGGTTCTTATATCAGCTGGTAAATGATGACATCATCAGTTAGAGTGAATGACTGTGATGTAGTTATTGATTAGAACATTCTGTAGTACCTACTCCATTCCCCACAGTGATCTGGAAGATATTAAATCTCTTGTCTGGTGTTATCTGACAATGCATAAAACAGAATATTCTTTTTTAGTGAAATATATCAGTTTGTCCATTGTTTACTCCAGAAATAATATAATCATCATCACTCAGAATTACCAAGAATTATCTCCAGTCTGCAAGATGTCTCTAACCAGGGGTTGGCAAACTACAGCCCATGGACCAAATCCAGCCCACCACCAATATTTGTATGGCCCAAAAGCTAAGAATGGTTTTTACATTTTTAAAATGGTTGGAAAATATCAAAAGAATAGTAGGTCATGACCTGAAAAGCATATGAACTTCCAATTTTCATGTCTGTAAATAAAATTACATTAGAACACAGCCATACTAATTTGTTTACTTATTTTCTATGGCTGCTTTCATGGAATAGTTGAGCAATTTTAATAGAGACTGCACAGCCTGCAAAAACTAAAATATTTACTCTTTAGCCCTTTAAGAAGAAAATTGCTAACCCCTGCTTTTGACCAATGGGCTTCAAATCTTTTGATTACACATACCTACCAGTAAAAAAGCTGGAGGTTACATGTACTTGGTGTGTACTCCATGTATGTATGTCTATATATATTTTTTCAATTAGATCAAAAAATGCATTTATTATTGCATTTGTTATTTTCACAAAGTGTTCTATTAGAAAATATGCACAAAATTTTTTAAATTAGATTTTACAAAGAGAAATAGAAATCCTAGTATTTTTTTTTTTTATCTTAATGGATCATTGTTCCCCTACAAACTGCCTTGGAAACCCCTAATAAAGACTACCATTTACTTTCAGAGATATCTGAGTTTTTAAGAACTTAAGTATTCTAAATATCAAATGCAAGATGTCTTCTTCATGTTGAATCTTGGCCAAATCTAGTCATGGCTTTTCATTAGGTATATAGTCTGCACATGTTTTGAGATTCCTGAAATTTTTCTGGATGACCAATGTCAGCTGGTACTATACTTGTTAGAAGCAGGCACTCGTATCAAGGAAATTTCGATACATTTTGATTAAAATACTTCCAGAAACCTTTTATAATTTTCAGCATGTTTGACCAATAGCGCAATGGCCCCCTTGAGCTTAGATCGAAGCCATGGTCTATCAGTTACAGTCGGGATCTGCAATTACAGGACCTCGGAGTTAAAAGGAACTGCAGATGACACTTCATTCATCCTTTATTATCAACTTTGACGAATTTGGGCGCATGAGAGGAAGATAGAGAGTTGGGGGAGGGAGAGAGAAAGAATGAGAGAGCTGCACCAAATGAAATCCAGCTCCCCAAATTGAAGGAATGACATAAGTTGGTTGTTTCAACTGAATTAGTCATTAATAGACCTGATGTCAAGAACTTGGCTAGATTTGCTATGGTCTCCCCCGATCTACTGAGGAAATGGCTTTTGTAAGCATTCCTCAAATCCTAGATCCCTTAATGCGAGTGGAAAGAGACACTCTTGCCAGTCCCTGGGTTCAGAGCTAAACAACATCCTTCTAGAAACCCAAATTCCTACAGGCAAGCTCATACAAATGTGTGGACTGTGATGTGGAGACCTCTGCTTCTTCTTCAGTAATACGTCAACATGAGCTCACTTTTCATTCAGTGTTTGCCTTAAGGGCAAGGTTACAACATCTGGGGAACTTTCAGATTTATTTATTATTTTAAATTCCTCAAAATACAGATAAATATTTTTGAAGATGTTTAAGAAGTAAGTTCTTTCAGCCCAGTCATGGCTCTTTGCTGACCCTTATTCTCGCCCCTCTCTCCCCATCTTTGTTTAATCACTGCAGATGAATTTGCTACGCTTTGCGGAAGTCAAAGGCCAGGCTTCGTCATTGACATTTATACCGGGTTACCTGTTGGTGAGTTATGGTGCCATTGTTGGAATTTTCTAGTTTTGCCTTTGTGTTTAAGAAGGGGAATACACACCCTTATTTTCTCAGTTTGCTTTTTTTTTTTCTTAGAAGGAAAAAATAGTTAAACAATGCCATTTAGCTTTATTGAAACACTGATTCTTAGTTTGAAACAAAGTGCAAACACTCTGTGAAGCTCCACCTACTTGGCAGCAACATTTGTTGCTCGTGATTAAGGGGGCTGGAAAGCTTCTCACACAATTACAGTCAAGCCTAGTTAAACCAACCCTAGGCATCAACAAAGAGAGATTCTGGGAGTGGGGCCAGTTGATGTTTGATTTGACTCTATTTCCCGATCTTTCCTTCTGACTAAGATGTGAGTGTAATATGACTTTTCATACCGATCTTTATGTGTAGGTTATTCACCAAAGCCCTTTTGGGGATCAGTTTTATCTCACATGGAATCTCCTCAGGTCATCATCTGCTTTGGGAATTTCAGACGTGAAAAAAAAAAAAATCTTTCCAATCGGAGGCCCCGTCTGGTAACTGGAGCAGAGACCACTAGAGCACTAGAGACTAGAGATGCTTGTGCAAGATTCAGAAGTATTGCAGGCGTTCAGCCAACGGCGGCAAGGCCTTTGTGGTTTAAAAGCAAATAACATAAAAGTAGATGGAAAGCTATTGCATTCTCAGACTCTTTCCCCAGTGTGATTTATATGCATCCTTAGATGCCCCTCCTAAGTCTGAGCAATTGTGTCTAGTAGCAAACATCACCTCTTGCTTTGTTCCACCATATTCCTAATAAGTAAACTGAAATCCACATCAGCCTTTCCAATGACCTTGTTTAAGAAAACAAGGGTCTGGTCCAGCAATCAGCCTGACTCCCTTAGTGCCAAATCCATATGGCTCCACAGTCTAGTCAACGTCCAAAGAAACTTCATGGTTTGGAAGGAAAAGCTGCTAAATGACATTGGCATGAAACACCTGGCCCTCGCTGCTTTGTTTTTCCCTTTCCCAAAACAGATCTTTTCATCTCCCTTGAATCTCTGATCCAAAGATAAGTGGTCTTTAATAGTAAGGGTTCTCCATGGACAGACCAGGCATGTCCCCCAGCAAGGCTGCCCTCCAAGGTTGGCAGCAGGCAAATATTCGAGAAACAGCATCAACATCATCCACCAGTCAAGCTGGAGACGTCTCAGACATCATGTATTCCAAATGCATTGCTTTACAGCTGAGGGGACAGAGGCCCAGAGAGGGTAAGGGACTCAGCCGAGGTCACCTAGCTAATTAATAACAGAGCTGGGACCCAAATCCAGTCCTGACTCACAGCTTGCTTTGCCTCAAGCTCTTGAAAGCTGGAAATGTGATAGTTAGCAATATACTTATTGTTACCAAATTCCACCGTGACAAAATATTTAGATGACTGAGAAACTTTGTTTTATTTGAGCTTTATACTCTCCTTCTGAAAGGTCTTAAGATTGTTGGCATATAGAACCCATTTCGTATGGGGTTAAAACTATAGCAAGTTTATTAATCTTGTCTTAAAATATAAACTTCTCCAAGTTGAAGTTCAAATGAAATCCAGACAGGAAAAGAAAATACAGTTTTTAATATATCCTTTTGCTATTTCATGCCCAACAATGGCTAGAAATTTGACCCAGTCTGTTATTGTTAAACTTGATAATACATCACTTATATTTAAAATAAATGAATGTGAATATAATGTTTCATGTTTGAACTAAAAGAATGTCATCTGAATTTTTGTTTGTTTGTTTGCTGATAGCACACAGTTGTGATGTTACTTTGCATAACCTTTTAAGAACATGAGTGACAAATGTGTGAAAAATCCAAAAACATAATCACCTGTATTCAAAATAAGAATATACACTAAGCTGTTTTTTCTATTAAAGAGATCAGTTTGCCTTCAAACAAAATCAAACCCTTCAGAAAAGGGTCTAAAATAAGCCTGTGGTCTGTCAAATTTCTCCTTCAAAGCAGGCTGGCTTTAGAGTATGATTATTCTGGAACGTGATAGCTCTTGTAGGCTCCACGTACAATGTGGCCGTCTTCTGATGACTCAGGCAAACAGACATCCTTGCAGAGGCTCCTGACTATAATATGTCAGTGGAACTACCTCAACAGCCTGGTAACAGATACCTGGTGGATTGGGAAGACCGGGGCTTTACATCCCCTCCCAGCTTCTGAAGTGTTTTGCGAAACTCCAGCAAGGGGTGGTGGTGGGGTCCTCCAGGATAACAAGTAATTCAATTATGGTTTTGTGAAACTGTGATGTGGAGAAGCCTGAGGGAGGCAGGATAGCCTGTTAGCAGATTCCTGGTACCAGATCCTGACTCTGCCTCTTCTTAGCTGTGTGATCTCTGGCAAGTTCCATCCGCTGGCTTGGCCCCAGGTCCATCATCTGCACAGTGATGGTAGTAGTCACAGTACCTGGAGACCATCTCTTAGAGTGGTTGTGATGATTCAGTGAGTAAATCCAGGATGAATGCTGAGAAATAGGCCAGATATACAGCAAGTGAGACCCTGTTAACACTCCTACTACTATAATCCTCGAAGACACTGAGTGGCTGGGAGCTGAGAGCAGGTCAGACAGAGTGGACCACCACGCCCATGAGGAGGTGAGACCTGCCCACAAGTCCTCCTCATCAGTGGGCCAGCCCTGCTTTAAAAGCCGCCTGTGTTCTGGCTCTGCTGTCATTCCTACTTTGGTCTGGTTTTAGTGCTCACCAATCCAACTTCTAGATACTGGTTCTTAATTTACCACATTTTAATGGACTCCAGTGGCATGCTAGGGACCGGTAAAACCGTGGTGTCACAGCCAGCCCCAGCCCCTGGCCTTCGGAAGCCACAATCTGTGGCAACAGAACAGTCCTTCCTCAGTGCTGGCCCCCACAGTCACCATGGGCCCAGCTTACACTCTCAGACCTAACTTACCCACTTCTCAAAGCCACGTAGAGGAGGAAGGGGGTGTTGAAGGGGAATTTGAAAGATCCAAGTCGTCTATGACCATGGGCTCCTCTGTGCTTCACCAGCTCTCCTTTCCCATGCTAGCCAAACCCCACTGCACACTTTGGGCAGAGAGGCCACTTATTCTCAAAGGTCCCATTATTCTACTCATCTGGTACATAGTGCCCAGTGGGTACCAAGATGGCCCCTACCTGGACAAAGCTGATGTTCTGAAACAAAACCAAAAAGACAGACACTACATCCAGGTACTAAATCCTGACAGAGTGTCTGAAAAGCAGTTTATTATTTTGATTTGATATTGATTGACATCCCCCATTTCCATCACCACCACCTTAACACCCCCCTCCCCACCCAAACACCCATGCACTTTCTCTGTTTTGGTTTTGGACCTTATGTAAACACTGAGTTAGAAGCTGCTGGCTTTCAGCGCCCATTTACCCTGCACAGAGATCATGCACCACGCCATCACTCATGTGGGGCTGCTCTGCTTCCAGATATTGACGAATGCCGGGAGATCCCAGGGGTCTGTGAAAATGGAGTGTGTATCAACATGGTTGGCAGCTTCAGATGTGAATGTCCAGTGGGCTTCTTCTATAATGACAAGTTGTTGGTTTGTGAAGGTAAGTGATGTTACTATATCATGTCCAGAAATGAGCCAACTGGCGAGCTACTTGCCCACATAGACTTGGCCAATTTCACAACATTGGAATTTCAGAAATCCATCAAGCTCTAGCAGTAGTGTAGGGCACCATGCAGAACATCATTTTTTCATGCAAAAAATTCCCTAACTCCCAGTGGAAAAAGCAGGACGAACATTCCCCAGCCCTGCCCAACCCCCCTCCCCGACACACAATGTATTAGATTTCCCAGCTGATATAAGAAAGCCTTGAGTTCCTGGGTGTGTCACACAGATTGCTTTTGTTTCACACTGCTTGAAAGTGAGCATGGGTGGTGGGCGGTCATCTTTACTTGAATCTCAAAATTAGTGCTCTCTTCCACTCGGAGCCTGTGCTACTCCCAAGTGAAAACAAGGTTAATGCAAATATTCCAAATGCATGAGAGAATTCCAAATGGCAAGAACAGCAAATTCGATTTTATATGAAGAATGTTGGCCTGTGTGCAAGTGGTCCTTTTTTCATTTTCAAATTACCTCCCCTTGCCATGTGGATGTACTGTGATTCTGTGCATTCCTCACAGCACTTCATATTTTTCCTACATCTGGGGAAGATAGTGTACTTTTACATTTTAGTAAAAGGGACATTACTGGTTATTAAATATACCATGTGCCCTCGGATAGCTGGAATAATTGTCTATTTAATACTTAAACTTTGGGCCTCTTGCAGAGTTTTTGTTCATGTCAGAGAGGGTTATTACCCCTTACAGCATGTGTTAGAGCACATATGTCAACATTTTAATGTTAAAAAACCTTTTTTTTTTTTCCCTAAACTAGGGACAAACTCACAGCCCATGAGTAAAGTTATGGTCCTCAGCACATGCTTGTTAAATTCTCCAGCCTCACCAGGCTTTCAGTTACTGTGGCCAAATGGGTGCAAGTCCCTGATTCTGCCTGCTGTGGTTGGTGGGGGCAGGGAATGGGGTGAGAGCCATTTAGAGCCTTCCTCAGGAGATAGTCACTCAGGCCTTTGCCCTGGCCCCTGTGCTTTGGAAGGCCATCAAGGATCAGGTGTCTGGAGAGGAAGCAGGAGAGGAAGCGTGATGCAGCAGAAAAGAAAGGAGCCCACAGCAGATGAGCAGATAATCTAACATTGGCTGTCTTCCTCATAGCCAGTCTTCCCTCTTTCATACCTGCCTAGGATGCCTGCCCCCTTCCTGGGGCCTCTTTTGTTCTCTTCCATTTAGAGATCCCAAACCTATAGGCATGGCTCCCCATGACTGCCAAGTCAACCTAGCCCTTGCTATCCACCTGAGATTGAAAACCCTCAGTTGTACCAACATAAGGCACTTTGCTGTCGAGGTAACAGTCAGTGGATATTGAGATTACAAAGCATTCCAGCTTTTGGGTTCCATTTCACAGGATATACGTCAACAGGGTGAATGTTTCATCCAGGGTCAACCACTTCCCAGCACACTCTTAGCTCTCAGAATCAGAAAACAAAGGTCGATTTCATACACACCTCAGTAACACTGAAATTAGAATGGATTCCAGAAGGGAGTTAGGGAACATCCATGCATCCATTCTCCCCAACTATGCATATAATTCCAAGCAAGTCATCTGATGCTCCATAGAAATGCTTGTCTGTGATGCCATTTGGCTTCTCCACAGACTGGCTACCTCTATGTTTCTGTATGCTCGTAAGACCAGGGCAGACCTGCTCAGTGAGGTGGTGCTGGTCTTGGGTCCACTGTAACCCAAGGCAGGCATACTTCTACTGTTGCCCAGAGAGGCACACCCCACCCCACATTAGCCAGAACCCCCCCACTGACGAACAGTCGTCCTGAGGTTTCCCGCCACAAAAGCATACACCTGTGAGGCATCAGTTGCTGTATTTGCCGCCCCCTTGTGGGAACTTCTTTGGCTGAGCCCACTTTGTAAAACCCCAGTACTGGTGGTAAGAGCCGGCTTCCGCCTGTGTTCTAGGCTATTCTGTTTCCTAACTTAGCCCGGGTTAGATAGTTTCATAGGAGCAGGGGCAGGAAACATGTATTGTGCCCCTGGCATAGCCTGGACTATGCAGTAACTTTCACAATGCCATGAATTTGAACTACCTTAGCTACCTGGTTGAAAAGAAAAGTAAAGAAAAGAAAAGATAGGCAAATAACCCCCTGAGTATAGTCAAAGCTCTGAAGCACACAATGCCCATTTATTCTTTTCTTTGATAGTGAGAGTTGGATTGTTCTCAGTAGTTTTATGTGCGGCCGCTTGTATTAAGTTTCCTCGATTTGACTGCCATGTGGCAGTAATTTAAGCAGGAGCCTTTACAGCCCTGTAGTTCAACACACTGCCTGTGGATCAGCAGCACCAGCATCACTTGCAGGCTTATTGGAAATGTAGCATCTCAAGCCATTCCCCAGACACACTGAATCAGAATCCGCCTTTCAGCAAGATCCCAAGTGACTCATATGTGCACGAAATCTTGAGATGCCTTGCTTACAGCACCTAGAACCTTCTGGATGAAAGTGACCTGATAGAATCATAAACCTGGGGTCTTTGAGCAAAATGTGATATTTCCTAGGATATTTAGTCTAGACCATGCTAAGTCCTGATCCTAGCAGCTGAGTTTCATGACCTTTTTTTTTTAGACATAGCATTATTAGAGTCCATATGTGGTCATAAACCAAGTACTCACATTTATGAAAAATATTAGCAAAGCAGGAAAACTAGAAAATAAGTCTCTAGTGTTCCCTTGTCTGTTCAGTAGAACTGATCAAAATAAGAAAAGTAGAAATCCGTTTTCTGTGAGAGGCTTCGTCACCTCGACCCCCCATTCTGTTCTCCTCCTAATGACATTCTCTTCTGCTTGGAGATATCGACGAGTGTCAGAACGGCCCTGTGTGCCAGCGCAATGCCGAGTGCATCAACACGGCGGGCAGCTTCCGCTGTGACTGCAAGCCCGGCTACCGCTTCACCTCCACCGGCCAGTGCAATGGTGAGTGGCCCCCTGCCGGCTGCCTGGGCCCGCCAATGGCCGGGCTTCATCCTGCTTCCCGTACCTGGCTATTTTTGAGAAGGTCAGGTTGAAGAGTACGTGAGTTATGGTTTGGACTGCTGAGTTCTAGTAGCTAGACTAGCAAAAAGAAAATTGTTGAAATGTCTCAACACAGAGGCAATGTTTTTAAAACAAGAAATATATCCTGTGCCTACATAGATTTCATATTTGCCAATCTCCTGCCCTGCTGCAAACACCCCTTCCCACAAATACACACATGCACACGCACACACGTGCACGTGCACGTGCACACACACACAGTCCCCTGACCAGTATTCAGGGCCAAATACTGTTTTATTTCCTTTTACATAATTCCCCTTAGGGCAGGAAGTTGTCACCTTTCCAGCCTCACACCCCAATTCTAGACAGTGAACCTCTCCTGAGCAAGAGTAACCTGCATAAACTAAGCAAAAAGGACCAACAGCACCACTTTTGCTCCTAAACATCTAACAGAACTGAGGGCAGCAAACATTAACAGCCTTTTATTAGCTATAAGTCACCTACAGTAAAATGAGAAGCTTTCCCCTAGAGGATAGATTATTTCATTGTTCACTTTTGTCATGGATGTGGTAGAAATAAGAAGGATGAGTTAGCTCAAATGGATGGTAAAGTTTTAAGTATCTGATGGCATCTTCTAGCCAGTGCACCAAAATTAAAACACCGGTGTTTCAGCCCAGAAACAAAATTACACCTCAGAATGATTTTCATGTGAGTTTTTGAGTAATTATAAATCATTGTATATTTAGCATGGCGGTCAGGAAGAATGTGTTATTTTGCTATGGTTCATTTCCCAAGGAGTTTCCTGGATATTTTATGCATTTGTGAATGAAACAACACAAGGGAACGTGGTCAGATTTTCCTTGGATTTCCTTGCCTACCAGTGATTAAGTGGTAGGAAGTGTACTGTTCTCTGTAGGGTATTTTGCATTGTTTTATTAGACCTTGGTGGGAAGAGGGTGTAATAGCAGAACAAAAACTCACTCTGAGAATCAAGGCTTGTTTTGTTGGGTTTAAAGGAACATGTGCAAGTGTTTAGCATTTTGTCAACAAAGCAGTTGTTATCCATGTATTAAAAAAACAGGACAGGAAAAGTGGGGACGTCTCTGATATGAGTCACAATACCCTAGTGTAACTTGGCATTTATACCACTTCCCTGCATTTTGCTCTTAATTTATATTTCTTTGAAACTGGGCAGAATAATTCCAATCAAAATAAGGAATTACTGATAATACAGAACGTGTCATTTCACACCATTTCACGCTCAGGTGAGAAGTGGGACGAGCTATTTATACATCAAGACAACACGTCCAACTAGGGCCTGTTGAAGCTTAAGCCCTGCCATATTTTCTTGTAGAACATCAGCACAAATAAAACTCATCCAGCACTAACCAGGGATAAGTACTGTGAGTGAGTGAGTGTTGTTTGTAGCCAAACTCACTTTCCCTCATTCATTGGAATCCTCGGAAGAAAGGGAATGTACTTGAGTTTTCCAATTATTCAGCCTCTAGGGCAGAGGACTTCACTCTGGAATTATCTTCATTTATGTCTTTTAAAATATGTTAAAATGTCTTCAAATGCTATCCTATGCATGACATTTTTTCAAGCACACTGCAAAAATACCCCTCTTGCCCTGTGTTTAAGATGAAAAGAACCAAAATTTCCTTTCCATCATTAGATTTTTATTTGAATTCATAAGTACATCATTTCAAACCCCAAATCACAGCTGGCCATATTACCCACATTGTTGAGAGAAGGAGTAGGTATCTAAGCCCAGGAGGTTAGTCCGACTTGAGGAGCTGTATATCTAGAGCAAATGTAGCCCCCTTCTGAAATGTCCTGCCCAGCTAAAGGCAAGAGACATGTCCTTCCCTGCCACTTCCTCATGATCTCTGTCTGCTGTGTTTTTTTCCCCCCGAAACCGTGTTTAAACCTCCTATCTCTGCCTCAGACATCATTTCCTGGGAGCTCAAACTCTGGTGCTTGTAGAAACCTGGTTTTCTGGTCTCCAGACAAAGTGAACTTCACAATTAAGTTCTCTAAAATTGTAACTTTCTATTTTACCATTAGAACCTCTAAGTGCTCCATGTTTCCTTTTCTTAAAACCAACATGAAATGGCACTGTGGGAAAGAAAATTCCTAATTAGAATTTTCCTAATTCCTTCTCTAAGAAGATCCTTAGTGCACTCTGTTTCCCGTGGGCCCCAGAGAGAAGACAGACCTAGTCCCTTGCATACTTGGAGATCCAGTACTCCCTGAGGGCACCCAAGGTTTGGTACAACTCTGGTAGGCTCTGAGACACCCTTCCTCAAAATCAGCTCCTTTTATAGAGCTTAGCAATGGAACTAAATTTCTTCTGCCTATCCAGTTTGCTCATTTTAAATCCATTTTCTCCAATGGGAATGATCATAATTTGTTAGGTTAACAAGCACTTCTAGATAGCTCCTAAGCTGCTGTATCCCAATTTCTCCATTAAGATGATATATTCAAGCTCACTTGAGACTTTTCAATTGTATGGTGATTCATCAAGTCTAATGTTCTGTATATTGGAAGGAGGTAGTCATAAAAATGGCAGCCTGAGCACATGAAATAGAGGGCAGATCTCTTCGGGCATGAGCACAACTGCTCTGGGCACAAAAAGTGCCCATTCCCAGTTGCTGTCTGCTCAGTAGACAAGACAAGTCAACAGCAAGTTTGGATGATTCAGACGGAAGCAGGGTAATTGCTGTGCTTTACAGAATCTACACTCAAGTTGGCATTCTGCTGTTGGCTCTCTTTTATGACAGTTGGAAAACCAGGATGATACAGTGCTCTTCGGATGACACATGTCCTAAGCGTAGAGTCTTGAGAGCTTTAAAAAATTAAATTAGAGGCATTAAGTAGGCATGTGGTTATACCATTCATAGATTCACCTAATAAATTCTTCCCCTCAGATAATCAGATTTCAGGAGAGCAACAAAGATTCAGTTGATGATAAATATAATTTAGAGCCTAAAGACTGGCAGAGGCAAGATGACAGGGCTTTCCTCTGAATGAATATGAATAAAAAGAAACATCATTAGGATTGTCAAGGGCTAAAAGGAGCCATGTGTACACATGAAGATGGAACAAAAAGTTGTAGGAGTAAGACAAAACAATGAAGTGAAACTTGAACAAGGGACAGTGTGGGTTGTCCATCAGGAAAACCTATCTTAGCAATGGGATTTGTTTGACGCTGATACAAATTTCCAAAGGAAGCCACGAAGGGTCCATGACTTGAGGCAGCAGAACTTGACTAGACAAAATACTTAACTCATTCCACAGTCTGTGATATTGCTGAGGCACATAATCAAACGGATTATCTCCCAGTTTGGATTCTTCTTCCCCATTCTAAATTTTCTCACCTTTCAGAACATTTTTCCCATCCCTTCATGAATTATTAACATACCCTGAATGTGCCCAGTAAATGAGAGTAAGTTTTAACTAATTTTGAGGTAAAAATAAATATAATGCCAGTGTCTGTTCTACTGGCTTGGTTTAGAGCTAGGATCAATCCTGAGCATGATACCTAGAAGTAAGTTATGTAATGCAATTTTGTCTCCTAAACTCTACCTAAGATACTTAGCGATACTTTTTATCCACAGATCGCAATGAATGTCAAGAAATCCCCAATATTTGCAGCCATGGACAGTGTATTGACACAGTTGGAAGTTTTTATTGCCTTTGCCACACTGGTTTTAAAACAAATGCTGATCAAACCATGTGTCTGGGTGAGTGTGTGATTATCGTTTTATTTTTAATTGATAGCCTGTTGAAAAATTCATTTGCATCTGAATACATAGAAAAGTTAATACTAAGCCTCCAGTATTAGTTTTGCTGTTTGTAAAATAAAAACACAAGCAGGCCTGTAGCATTAACATCCTTTGGTATTTAATCTTTGGCAATCTGAACATAATAAACCTCTTCCTTGATATTCATTTGGCTGCGAGGTCAGAAAAACTTCTGACTAAGGGAAAAACTGAGAAAAATATTAAGACAAAAAGTATTTTTTATTAATGTTAATAGCCTATTATTTTATGAAATCTGTGTGGGTTTGCCTTACTGGAATAGAGTGCAGCTTTTGAGTGTTTGAATATGAGCATTTTTTGAGAAGCGTCTATAGTTTGTACCAGATCCTCAAAGGCAAACTTACAGATCCCACAAAGGCAAAACAAAACAAAACAAAACACATTGTTTCTATGGGAAGAGAGCTCAAGATTTTAAATCTCTTCCCCCTTGCTTTCAGTACTAAATCAGGATGCTGATTTGGAATAAATTCCAAATATTAATCAATCATGTTCTCTCTTTTCCTCCTTCCTTTTTCTATTTTCAAGCACCATCCATTAAGTTTTCTGGGCACTCCCTGAACATGATTCAGTTTCACAGCTGGAAAAAAGAAGAATCAATAGAATCTTATGTTTTAACAGCTTAGCTTTCGCTGTAATTGGGTTCACCCATTAGGGCACCTTCTTATAAAGTTTTGTCTTCTTCAGAACAGATAACTGGTTTTAAATTAAAGGAGTATCATGAGCCCTGCTTGTTCCTGGGAAGCTTACCCTGGCAGAGCAGTGGCACCCTGCACTAACAGTCTTTTTTCCTCTTCCATCTTGATTGTCTGGAACCCTCTACCAAGGAGCCTGCCCTACAGAAGAATTTCACTAGCTTGGCTAAAAACGAATCAGACAGCAGCTGTTGATTGCTGGCAGCATGACTCATCCGAGTGCAGTCCTGCAGCCACAGACACACACACATCAGATTACTTTGGGGTCAGCAAGAGCTTTCTGGTTTAGGATCACAGATAACTCGTCTTCATGTCCCAAGTTTGAAAGGAAAGGAAATCCTAACTCTGAACACTGCATTTGGCTAACCTGAGGTGTTGTCTTCCACTCCCAGAATCTCCCTGCCTGTGCCCTCACCCTCCTCGTTCTGCCTCACTCCCTCCCGCTAACCAGCAGGATCAACTTTCTTTCATTTTAATTTTTTATTTCCTCCTTGATATAATGTAACCTGCTGTATAAGAAAGTTGCAAGTTGCTGTGGTGCAGTGCAAAGACAAAAAAGATGCCAAAATAGCTTTATAAAATAGTCAAAGAGAAAAGTCATAGACCAATAAAAAGACAAATAATAATGCAAGGGTGTATCAGGAGAGCCCCATTAAGTGCCATCACTTTGGCATAGTTTGGAAGGGTGAGATAAGTCACCAGTAGTGGGACTAGTCATGGGCTTTTAGGGGTGGACTGGGAAGAAGGAAGGGATGTCGAAAATATCAGGTGAGTTAGAAACCTGATTTATTTTGTTGCTGATGTCTGGGTAATATTAGGTGACTCACTGCTTTTTGGTAAATTGGAGTGAGAATCTTAAAGGCTGAAGTTTGCCAAAGGTGGCAGCAAATCAAGACCCAGAGGCGCACAGAATTTTCCATTTCCAAGTGAAAATATTTGAGAAAAGTGGCAAGGGTGGAGAATTCTAGAAGTCAATAGAGTAAAATAATTCTTGTCCAGTTCTCATGTCCTTAGCTTGCCTCCTTCCACATGCCAACCAAGGAAATGGTTTATTCCCAGGGTTTAGATCCTCGGCTCGTGCTGATGGCTCACGGGGAGCTGCCACTGATCAAGATGTTCTTAGCCTGCACCTGACGCATCGTGAACCCCACAATGCCCTTAACCCCCAGGTAGCCACTCACCTCTTCCTCTGTTAACGGCCATGCTTCTCTGTGCCCGTTGTTCCTACTAGACATAAATGAGTGTGAGCGAGACGCCTGTGGGAATGGAACTTGCCGCAACACCATCGGGTCCTTCAACTGCCGCTGCAACCACGGCTTCATCCTTTCCCACAACAACGACTGCATAGGTACGTCTGCAGACCGGCGGGCGCCGGAGGAAGGCCGCTTCCTGTGCGCTCTGTGCAATTAGCAGCCTCTCCGGGGTGCCGGCCGGTTTTCTTAAATACATGCCCTCTAATGCATAACACTTAGTTAAAGGAGTTGTCAAATATAATGTCCTAAGTAAATGTCAAATAGACTAACTACAGCCATGACTTTTATTAAAATGCCTCATTAGCAGCTATAATTTTTATATGTACCGTGCTGTGAATTCAATACATTTTTAAATAAATTGAAACAGTGACGTCTTAAAACATACAAAAGTGATTTTTTGTATGGAAATTTCATAATTCAGGAATTATGTGGACCTACTTGTCTCAATGTTTCACTAGACCCTTGCTTGAAAGAAGTCAATTATTGAATCTATAAAATCCTCCCTATAAAACCTGCTATGTTATTTATAAGTGAGATTAATGATCCAAATTGTATATCATGCTAGAGGCTAATTGTATATACTTCTAATTACAAGAATACTTAATACCCTCAGCTGTACTGTGTATTAGGAATTCAGTTTTAGCTTTTAAAAATGAAGCATAAAGGAAGATCAAAGTGAAACTCATATAAAGTTCTAATATAAATTATCAATCTCTAATTAATAGAATAGTGTAATCTTGTTAGGTTTTGATAGGCAAGGAAAGCCAGGTGTATTGTTAGAAACTAGATCTTTATGGGAATTTTTAATGCCTGGCTGTGCCAGCAAAGTCCACTGAAACTTAGAAGAAGTATTTCTCCCTTTAAAGGTTTTGATCATTGCTGGAATTTTGACATTTTCTTTGGAATATATCAAAGGATATTTTTTTGGCAGATGTTGATGAATGTGCAACTGGCAATGGGAACCTTTGCAGAAATGGCCAATGCATCAACACAGTGGGGTCCTTCCAGTGTCGATGCAATGAGGGCTATGAGGTGGCTCCAGATGGCAGGACCTGTGTGGGTAAGCGTGGCCTCATTAGCAGCTGTAATTTTTATATGTACCCTCCATGTACCATCCGAAGAATGCTCCCAGAGATGAAAGGATCCTGCAGGCCCTATCACCATACTTCCTTCAGAAGCCTCGAGGGGAAAAAATCCGAGGAGAATTTCACTAATCCTACCTGTAGACTGTGTGTGTGCGTGCGTGTGTGTGTGTGTGTGTGAGAGAGAGAGAGAGAGAGAGAGAGGACACATTTCTCTGTTATGTTTTAAAATTAAGTTATTGCATTTGCAGGAACAGTTAAACTGTTAAATTTAACAGAAACTTAAATTGTCCCATAAGCAATTGTGATTTGCTTTCTTATATTTTTTTTCTTTAAAATAGCTTTGTGGGAAGCTCTTATACAGTCTTTGGGTGCGCTCAAAAATCTGCATTCCCACTGACTTTTCACATGCTACACTTTCCTGGAAATACTTAATTTGTGACAGGTCACATAAAACATGGTTGGTCTACTGCACACTTCTGAAAGCTGATAGAGCTTCTTTTTATTGAGTCGTTAATTTTTCTCCATGGTAGTTTTATGTATTTCCTTGATTTGATTCCAGTTTCTTGAAATTTTAATTGCTTGATGGAAATCATGCCAATGGGAACCTCTTCTTTCTTTTTCCCTTTTCTTTGCAGATATCAACGAATGTCTTCTAGAACCTGGAAAATGTGCACCAGGCACCTGTCAAAACTTGGACGGGTCCTACAGATGCATTTGTCCCCCTGGATACAGTCTACAGAATGACAAGTGTGAAGGTAAGAGTGGGAGGACTGTCAGTGTTCGTTACTGCACTGGCATTCTCCAAGTCAGTTTTTATGATGGTGTGCTGGTGTTTTTTTATCAGAAACAAATCCAAGAGCAGAGGGTCTGACTTATGTTCTCGCACTCAGATGATGAGACAAGAACATCCAATTCTCACGCTAATATCTGATGACACTGTTTTGCTCTGTGCATATGGGTGGTCATATGGCCCTGACTCTTTTCCAATGTGCTTTTAGACAACTTGTAAAAAATCCTGGATTACATATTTTTAAGTGCCAATAGGTTGCAACTACAAATAGCTTCCTGATTCCAGCTAAAATCTTTAAGTGACCACATTCAAGGTTCGACGAATGTGGCTGTATAATTTGACTATGTTGTTTTGACCCATAGAGCAGTGAAAATGTGTTACTACAAATAAATTCTCAGCAAATTTCATAGTACTGCGTTCCTCAATACATATGTCATTGAACTAAATGAAGGACATTAATTGCCAGAACTTCATAAATAACTAGGCTGAAAGGATTTTTAAGAAGTCACCTAGTCCATGCTCCCACGTTTAAATAGGTCTGTATCTAATCCATAATGAGTAAGAATTTTCTCCACTTTTAATACCATGGGGAAATTTTATTATATATCCAATTTAAATCATAGTCAAGTGATAATATTCTAAATGGAAACAGTTTATCAAAATTAGGCCTACATGCAAATTATTTTAAGTGTTATTTTACTTTTACTAAAGATCAGCCTTATTTACTCCATGAGTAATGCAGAATTCCCCTAAGATGAACAGAATGGAAATGTATAGACAGAAAAATGACTTCCCGAATACTGAATAATGTGCCCATTCCGCCATCCTTGTCCCTATCCTTATGAAGTCACCACCTATAGGTTAATTTCTACCATAAGAGAAAGAATCCTAACGACAATGACAAAAACAACAACGAAAAGAAATACTTGAGCATTTTTATAAAAGTTGGCCTTTCTCTTAAGAAAAGTTTGGATGTGGGAGAGGAGGGCACGTGGGAATGGAGTCATTCAGTCATCAGCAGCAGCTCAGATGCGTTAATACACCACAAGCAACATGATGCAATTATAAAGGCATTGTAATAACATAAGAGTGATGAAGAGACTGGTTTTGCCCTAAACAGGAAGATAATCACTTTGAGTTGCACATACCTATTGTGTGGTATTTACAATATTGTCAAGATAATGGAATTAATTTCCTAACTTCCTCTTAGTTGAACCTTGTTGGAGGGAACTCATATAATACAAATACATCTTGATGTAGGTAGAACTCTTTGCACAAATGTAAAATAAAGAGCCCCATGATATAAGAGATACATGTTTTGTTGGGGAAAAAAAGGTATTTCCATAAAAATAACATGGCTCAGAATCAAGACTTACCTCTTTTTTACTACAAATTCCTGCTGAAAATCAGAGGAAAAGATAGATAAGTCTGTTGGAAAGAGTGCCATACTTTTCCCATACATAGGGTGATCATGTATTTATTGATCAAACCAAGACAGTTTTAAGGAGGACGCTATTAATAATAAGGCCGGGACAATAAGCATAAGCTAGGACTCTCCTAGGAAAACTAGGGCATATGGTTACCCAAGCCATTCAAACTTCAGTGTAGACCATCTTTAATCAGCCCTTCCTAGGGTTAATGTATATTAATATGCTAAAGGAAACATCACAATTATAAGTGTATCAAATTCCTATTATCTATATGATGAAAGAAAAACTAGCTTCTACAAGAAAGACATTTTTGTGTCTTGAGAAAAACTAACCTGCAAATGAGAGTTAGGAAGGAACCCCATCTTCTGTGATATCTTTAGTTTACACTGCACAAGATTATTTTCATAGGTGTTATTATTCTTGTAAAATTCATAGTTTTAGGGCTATAGCACAGGGTGTTGGGGAAAGCACTGCGGATGGATGGAGGGGAATAAATTTTTGTTTCAAAGACCTGGATCTCTTACTAACTTATTGTCAACACGATTAAAATTTCAAGCTTCTGCTTCCTATGCAGTGGTGAAGTCAGACCCTGGAGTTTCTTGTTTCTTTCCTAGCTTAGGGTGGTAGAAAATTACCTTTTCTAATTAGCCAGGCACCTGAGTCTAGGTAAGAGATGTTTCTCATTGTATCCCTTAGAAGGCACTTGCAGATTCCCTTTTTACAACAAGAATTTTCAAGATTACTTTTTAAAAAGATATCAGAGCTTAGAAGTCCACTGACAGCATAATGACCCAGGAAAAATCTTCATTATTGGGAGGGTTTTGAAACTTAGTTGCACTCTGTACTTCCACACTTTGCATTCAGTATTTGATGGTGTCTCCATTGTGTTTTGATTTTGACACATGTAATTCTTTTAGATATTGATGAGTGTGTGGAAGAGCCAGAAATCTGTGCCTTGGGCACATGCAGTAACACTGAAGGCAGCTTCAAATGTCTGTGTCCGGATGGGTTCTCCTTGTCCTCCACTGGGAGAAGATGCCAAGGTAACTGCCTTTGAAGGCTTTAGACTTTCATTACTCTGTGTTTATTTGTTGTGGTTTCATTTTCTTAAACATGGCAAAGCTTTGATTCTTTGTGAAAGAGAAGATGGAGAGTTTTCATTCACCCAGACGTCTAATGATTACCATATGTCAGAAAGTTCATTTTTACTTTTAAGGTTGAAAACTCATCCATCAAGTTCTGGTTGCTTGTATAACAACTGCCCTGGCACTTAAACCTATCTCTCCCCCTAAGAACACAGATGCTGATAGGTCAGTCAGTGCGGGATCAGCCATGAGCCACTGACTACTGCAAAGCCTGGGGACAGTTCAGCTCCATGGTCTCTGCCTCTGAAGAAGTAACTCGGTACAAATGTGGGCCAAAATCTAGACTCTCGGTCAGAAAAAGGTTAATCCATATGCTTCCAGGATATAGTGCCCATCCCTTACATGACAAATTTTCTAAGAAAACAGAAAAATAAATTTGAACTGACCTGGACTCTTGCTGGGACATAGTCTGTTTTCAGGACTAATACTCGTGAACTTAAAAAAAAAAAGCCTGAACTTAAGCCTAACACAATATATTATATCCCAGAAAACTGTTTAGATTTTAGTAAACAATGCAATGATGTGTGTCTATCCATTTATACATACTAGCTTAATGAATTTAGAACAAAAAACCCCACACAGACACACATATTTCTCCCCTCTACCTCTGTGTTCTGTTGTTTGTCATTTCTTGTTCAGGTTTTTTTTTTCTTGGTTATTTTGTTTTGGTTTGGTTTGGTACTGTATTACTAAATAAAAGGCAATGGATATCATTTCAGATTCCAAAAATTGGGTTTGGGGTCTCAGATCTGCCATCTGTAGCCTAGGGCAAATCATTGGATCCTTTGGAAGTTCAATTTCCTCATTTTATTTTTATTTATTTATTTATTTTTATTCTTATGTTAATCCCCATACATTACATCATTAGTTTTAGATGAAGTGTTCCATGATTCAT